AAGGAAGGAAAGGGAAAAAAATGTATATATAGGGAAACAACACCACAGAACAAAGAGATAAACCGAAAAATACAAACAACAAACACCCAGAAAAAAAGGTGGGTCCAGAAACTCTATAGGCAGAGCTAATATACAGAAAGTAAGGTTAAAGAATCTCATGAATATGGGGAGGGCCTTGTTTCAGTATAGAGGAGATAGAAAGAGGATGAGTGGTTAAAAAGAAAAGAAAAAGAAAAAAAATTAAAAGTAAGATAAATTAAAAATAAAAATTGAAGAAAAGATAATGTGGAAAAAATAAACAAAGAAAATAAAGAAGTATTTTAAAATAAATGATTTAAAAAATAAAAATATAAAGTGAAGTGTCATTCATTTTAGCTGAGTGTTAATGCCCTATGGGGGCTGGGTTAAGATACCATTCTTTTGTATTGTCTGCCACTTATCAATTTCCTGTTAGGGAGTCAGCACTGTTTTGAAGTTCCAATCGATCTGTTTGTACCTATCTCCACCGCCTTGACTGACAGTAGGAGGACCAATCTGACCAGTTAGCCTCTCTGCCTGCTGTCAGTCTTAATCTGTTAAGTGTCTGTTTTTGACAGGGCTGTAGTTAGGGAGGTTGCTGTATTGCTTTCCAGAACTGAAGAGCCTCTCATTAACCCAGTCCTTGAGCGTTCTTAAGGGCTATTCAGATTATTTTTGTGTCCTTAGTACCACTCTGAGTGTAGTCCGGGTGTGGCAGTATTGGTTGCCTAGAGACTGCTGGGAAGAGCTAGCTCTTCAGGTGAAAATGGCTGGTTAGGTCCTCAGTATTAGGAATGTCCCAGTGCCAGACTTCAGGTTACCTCTCCCCAACCTTCTCTTCTCCATACCCTCTCCCCAGACTCCACAAGTCCACACCTCCACCTCCAACTCAGCTGAGGGTGAGTGTTTGTATTTGAAAGGGTTTATGAACTTGGTGTAGTGAATAAAAGCAAAGAGGGGAAACAACTCCTCCACTGCAGGTCTTCTCCTTCTGGCACCACACGGCTTTAGCAGTTCTTCAGGCTGCATCTAGGCTCAGCCTCTTGCAGCTCTGGACTTAGATTTAGAATCCCCTGCCGTCAGCAGCCCTGTGGACTTCCTTTCCACATTCAGATACTACACTTGTCTTGGTGCCGTGCAGCTTCCTTCTTACCCTTCCGGCTCAGAGATCTTGTAACTCCCTCCAGCCCAGATCCCAATAGTACTGTTCTCTGACCTTGCCAGCTGCAAATTGTCTCACCAGCTGTGTCTACTTTTGCAATTTTGGGTAGATGTTATTCGATTTAGATGCTTCTGGCATGGGTCACATCTGCCTATTCAGCTGCAATTTTGTCTCCTGTCTCTTATTTCCCATTGTGTTCTTTATTGCAGCTATGTCATTCTTCATTTCCACTTGATTGTTACACATGTTGGTGAATGTCCATCCAGCCTTTCTGCCTCCTTACAACCATTACTCTGAATTTGTTCTCTGACAATTTGCTTGCCCCCATTTTATTTATTTTCCTTTCTGGTGATTTTTCCTTTTCTTTCATGCAGGAGTTGTGTCTTTGTCTCCCCATTTTTGCTATTTCTTTGTTATTGTTCCTATGTATTAGATCAAACTGCTATGCACTCAGATTTTTTTTTTTTTTTAATTTGTCTTATGTAGTATATATTTTGTGGAACCCAGTGGTTCAGTCTCTCTGGTCTTCTGGGCTGAGTATTTTAGAGATGCCCCCTATTTGAGATTTTTGGGTTATCTTGATGTAGTTGGGTCTTGAATGTTATTGTCCTGTTCATGGATGAAGTCTCCATTCAGGGTTTCTGGTTATGTGGCTCGCTCTCTACCACGACATGCCAACCAGTGTGGAGGTGCTAACTGAACAGCACAAAATAATACATAAGACACAACATAAAAGGAACAGAACACTGTACACAAGACACCTATATCCCCAATATGAGTGGCCACCAGAGCAAAGAGAATCAGGAGAAGAAAGAGAGCAAAAAAAGATCGTGAGGGGAAAAAAGGAAGAAAATTTAAAAAAGGAAAGAATATGGAGAGACAACACAACAAAACAAACACGTAAACCCAAAAGCACAAACAAAACACACACAAAAGAAGGTGGGTTAGAATCTGTAGATGCAGAACTTAAAAACAGAAAAAAGATTAAGAAATTGGATGAATAGGGGAAGAGCCACTGTTTAATACAGAGGAGGACAAAGGAGAGTGGATAAGAAGAAAAAATATTTATTTTTTAATTTTTTAAAAGGAATAGAGGAGAGAGCAGATAGGCCTAAATTTAGGAAGTGAAACTATTTAAAAAGGAGAAGAAAGGAGCAAGAGAGAAGGGAAATAATATTGAATAGTTAAAAAACAGAAGAGAAGGGGAAATTGAGTAGGAGCAGAGAAGAGGAGATTAGATATATGAATAAGTCAACAGAGACTACAATAATAATAACATCGGTAAAGCATATAAAGAAAATTACTTTTTAACAAGTGGTAAAAAGAAAGAAAAGGTAAAAGCTAAAGTGGGGAAAGTAGAAGAAAAACAGGATGAAAAAGGGAGAAGTGAGGAAGAAAAAGGTGAAAATAAAATAGAATAACAAAAAATAAAATTAAATATATACTACTAAGGAATTTTTAAAAACTATTTAAAATGTGGTGTCATTCACTTTAGCCGTGTTTTAATGCCCCTTGTGAGCTGGTTTAGGACCCCACTCTTATGTTCTATCTGCCAGTTCTGGGCTTCCTGTTAGATAGTTCCTGACCACTGTCTTTGGTGATTAACACCATGCTGAAGCTCCAAGTGATGCACTGCTCCTCTGCTTGTGTCTATCTCCATAGGCATTGGCTGCAAGCAGGCAGGACCAATCTGATGCTTTGCATGTCTGCCAGCTGTCAATCTTAATTACACAAGCATCTGTTTCTGTCAGGGCTTAAATGGGGTTGGTGCTGTTTTGCTATCTGGGGATCAAATGGATGTATTTTCCCCTAACCACGGCTACTCTTCAGAGAGTGGCCCAAAATATAGCTCTGGCCTTTGTCAGAGATCTTTGTATGGAGACCAGTGGTTTGGCTGGCAGCCTGGTGTTTTTATCAGTCTGGTTCCCAGAACAGTGGGGCGCACCAGTGCTTCTTCCAACCCAGCCATGAGGGCTCTTTGGGGGCTATTCACAGCTTTTGTTTCCTTTTCATAGTTCTAAATGCAGGCAGGGTGTGGCAGGCCATATTCCCTGCCTTGAGGCCATTGGGAAGGGCTAGCTCTTGGGGGGAGAAATGGCCACTTGGGTTTGGAGAATTACAGAGTCCTGGCAATGTCTCCCAGCCCTGTCTCTCCTCAGGCTCTACAAATCCATACCTCTCTCTGCACCAGAGCCTAGGGTTAGTTTTTGCAATTGATAAGTCCCATAATCTGGGTTTAGCAAATAAAAGTAAAGACAAAACAAAAAGCAAAACAACTCAGGAACTGGGTTTTTCTCCCCACAGCACCAAATCACTTGGGTTGCTTTTCAGGCTCTTGTGGGGTGCAGTTTCCTGCCATTGTGATCCCAGGTCTAAATTCCCCAGGCACTAGCAGCCCTATGGGCTTTCCTTTTTCACAATTGCGTATTATACCTGTGGCTAAGGTGTTGCTGCTTTGGTGCATTGCAGCCTCCACCTCACTTGGCCCAGAGGTCCAGCATCCCTCTCTAGTACAGATCCCCACTCCTACTATTCTCCTGGCATCCTCTGCACTTCCTTATTGAAAATTATCTTCTCAGCTGTTTCTAATTTGTTAATTCTGGGTAGATTTTCTCCATTTTAGTTGCTTTTTCCAGTCTGGCCCCGGGGCGAAGGTGCATGACATGTCTGCCTATTTGGCTGCCATTTTTTCCCCTCCCTGTCTTTTCTAGACTGCATAACTCTGTATTTTTTCAGTTATTCTTCCTTTTTAGTTGATTTACTGTTTTATTCTTCACCATAAGACTTTCTGTGATAATGCTTATGTTAGAGCTAGTGTTACTTTTTTAAGTTCAGTTTTGAAGTCAAACTGATTTCAAAGATAGATACAGAAAATTACATCAATAAAATCTTAATATTTTGGACTTTTGATTACTCTTGAAATACTTTTTGTATTTTTTTGTTTTTTTAATGACTGGAGGAAAGTGAAAAAATAGAACCAAAGATCAGCAAAAGGAGAAAAAAATTTACATCTTTTCTGATACAAATTACGTTATTTAAAAGGATAAAAGGTTTTTCCTCTCTGTTAAGCTGATATAGATCTACTTTAAAATTGGGGGGTGGGGGGTTGGAATCAGGAAATATTATGTGATTAATTAATAATAATTTACACTGTGTGATTTCTTTGTATCAGGCCCTGCTGGTTAAATAGTAGAAGTACTGTGGTGAAATGATTTGGGAGAGTACCTGCCTATCAAAGTAGTGATTGGAAGTCTGAAGAGAGTATGAATTTTTTAAAATATATTCTTATTGATTTCAGAGAGGAAGAAAGAGATAGAAACATCAATGATGAGAATCATCGATTGGCTGCCTCATGCATGCTCCACACTGGGGATCAAAATGGCAACCTGGGCATGTGCCCTGACCAGGATTTGAACTGGGACCTCCTGGTTCGAAGCTCAAATCGAAGCTCAACCACTGAGCCATGCCAGCCAGGTGGGGAGTATAGATTCTTTGTCCCATAGCATTTATAATGTCAGTATTCCTGGCTCAGTTGGTTTGAGCATCATCCTATACACCAAAAGATTGAGGGTTTGATTTCTGGTCAGGGCACATACTCAGGTTGTGTGTTTGATTCCTGGTCATAGTGGGGTGATGATGGGGGCATTGGTACTTCTCTCTCACATTACTGTTTTTCTCTCTCCCCCTCTACCTTCTCTAAAATAATGAAGACATATCCTCAGATGAAGGTTAAAAACAAAGGGAGAAAATGGTGAATGAATACTGAAACGAAAGAGAAAGAACAAAGTGGTAATAAAGCAGATCATGTTCTGTTTTTTAGGCCTGGAATCCAGCTGCAGAAGATCAGTGCTTTGATAGATGCCATAGACTTGGACAGAAGCAAGAAGTCATAATCACAAAAGTGAGTTTTTTTAAGCCATTTATCTTAAAATTAAGTTTTAAAGATTTTCAAGTTATACAAATGCATGAATATTTAAAATTTATAAATTAATATACACATTTGTATATATATTTAAATTTTTTAAAATTTTTTATTATTGATAGTATTATAGATGTTTCTCTTTTTCCCCTCCACCTGGTTTCCACCCCACCCCAGGTGTTTGCCATCCTATTGTCTATATTCATATAATGCATATATGAATATAAGATCTTTGTTTCATCTCCACCCCCTCAACACTCCCTTCTGAAAATTATCATTCTATTCCATTTCCATGCCTCTGATTCTATGTTGTTCACCAGTTTGTCTTTTTTTTTAATCTTTATTGTTTATATTATTACAAATGTTTCTCATTCCCCCCCCTCCCCCCCTCGATTGCTCCCCTCCACCAGGTTCCCACCCCACCCTCTGCCCTTTCCCCACCTCCCATTGTCCTCATCCATAGGTGCACTGTTTATGTTCAGTCTCTTCCTGCACACCCCCCCATTCCCCTTTTCCCCGAGAATCGTCAGTTTACTCCCCTTCCATACCTCTGATTATATTATATTCACCAGTTAATATTGTTCATCAGATTTTTTAATTCCCTTGGTTTTTGGATTCACTTGTTGATAGTTAGGTATTTGTTGTTCATAATTTTTATCTTTATTTTCTTCCTCTTCCTAAAGAACCCCTTTCAGCAATTCATATAATTCTGGTTTGGCGGTGCTGAATTCCCTTAGCTTTTTTTTTATTAGTGAAGCTCTTTATCTGGCCTTCGATTCTGAGTGATAGCTTTGCTGGGTAGATTATTTTTAGCTGTAGGTTTTTGCTATCCATCACCTTGAATATTTCTTGCCATTCCCATCTGGCCTGCATGGTTTCTGTTGAGAAATCAGCTGACAATCGTATAGGTGCTCCTTTACAGGTAACTACCTGCTTTTCTCTTGCTGCTTTAAATATTCTCTCTTTGTCTTTTGCTCTTGGAATTTTAATTATGATGTACAATATCTTGGTGTGGTCCTCTTTGGATTCCTTTTGTTTGGGGTTCTGTGCACTTCTTGGACTTGTAAGTCTATTTTTTTCACCAGGTGGGGGAAGTTTTCTGTCACTATTTCTTCCAGTATGTTTTTGGTATCTTGCTCTCTCTACTTCTGGGACCCCCATAATTCTGATATTGGTTTGGTTGAAGTTGTCCCAGAGGTTTCTTACATTATCTTCAACTTTCTGGATTCTCTTGTCTTCTTGTTTCTGCTGAGGAGTGTTTTTTGGCTCTTTAAGTTCCAAATCTTTGACTTGATTCTTGCGATCTTCCATTCTGTTTTTAGGAATCTGTATACTATTTTTTATTTCACACAGTGTATTCTTTATTTCTAGTTGATCCCATTTTATTTCTAGTTGATCCCTTTTCATATCCTCATAGGTCTTGTTTATTTTATCGGCCTTTTCTAGGAAATTCTTGAAAAACCTTATAAGTGTGGTTTTGAACTCTATATCCAGTCGCTTTTTGTCCTCCATTTCTTTCGTTTGTGATCTGTTTCCCTGTCTTGGCATTTTCACAGCTTCCCTGAGTTGGTAGGGTGGCTTTGTGTGCTAAGATATCCTATATAGTTCAGTAGGTCAGTCTCCTAGTTACCTGAGGTGGACACTCTTGGTTTTCCCTTTTGTGGACTGTGTGTACAGCCTTGTTGTTGTTAAGTCTTGATTGTTGTTGGTATCACTGGGAGGAACTGACCTCCAGGCCAATTGGCTGTGAGGATCAGCTGTGTCAATGCCAGGAGACAGCCTTATTCGACTAGGCTTGGAAAATTGCAAAAGTCTTGTGTTCAGCTTGGATGAGGCTGAGTTTCAGGGTGGATCCTACAGCCTTGGCTTCCCATCAGCCCCACCGTATGAGGTTCCTAAGTCTCAGTGTTCCTCAGTGTTCTTCAGTACTCATTGTAAGCACCTCTGAGAGAAAGGTACCCGTGAGTTTCACCCGCTACCAAACGGTCTAGGCTCTCCCCAAATGAGCCCGGAACTGGGGTTCACTGCAGTTGGAAGTGGGGTTGGAAGTGGAGTTCAGAGCAGTCGGAGCTTTGTCTCCTTCCTGCTAGGGCAATCTAGCAGCAGAGTCAACAGTCCGTCCTCTGCGTGCAATGTGCGCGCCTCTGGGACTGCCTTTCGCCGCTCCCTTGAGTTTCTGCCTTACAGCCCAAATTCCCTCTGTATGAGCCTGGCTACCCAGGGTCTCGCCTAGAACTGGGGTTCAGCACAGTCCGGAGCTTTTATCTCCTTTCCGCTAGGGAACGCCAGCCAGGCACTCAGCCGCCCACTCCTCTCCAGCTCCGTCCTCTCCCGCGCGCGCACAATGTCTCCATACCTTAGGCTTTTACAGCTCCTCTGATTTTCCTTCTGGTTTTCTCTTTTCTTCTAGTTGTAGAATTTCCAGTCAGTCAACTTTCCTGTAGTTCTGGGTAATGTCCAGTTTGTATTTTAGTTGTATTTTTTTGAAATTGTTGTGTGATGCTGCAGTTAGGCGTTTACCTATGCCGCCATCTTGGTTTCTCCACCAGTTTATCTTGTTCATTAGATTTCTTATTTATTTATTTTGATATTTAGATTCAATTGATGATGGATATGCATTTATTGCCATTTTATTGTTCATATTTCTTCCTCTTCTTCTTCTCCTTTCTCCTCTCCTCTTCCTCTTTTTTTTTTTTTTTTTTTAACATATTTTATTGATTTTTTTACAGAGGAAGGTAGAGGGATAGAAAGCTAGAAACATCCATGAGAGAGAAAAATCGACCAGCTGCCTCCTGCACACCCCCCACTGGGAATGTGCCCGCAGCCAATGTACATTCCCTTGACCGGAATCGAACCTGGGACCCTTCAGTCCACAGATTGACGCTCTATCCACTGAGCCAAACTGGTTTTGGCATCTTCTTCCTCTTCTTAAAGAATACCCTTCAACATTTCATGTTATACTGGTTTGGTGGTGATGAACTCCATTAGCTTTTTCTTATCTGTGAAGCTCTTTATCTGACTTTCAATTCTAAATGATAGCTTTGCTGAGTAGAGTAATCGTGGTTGTAGGTTCTTGCTATTCATCACTTTGAATATTTCTTGCCACTCCCTTTTGGCCTGCATAGTTTCTGTTGAGAAATCAGCTGACAGTTGTATGGGTGCTCCCTTGTAGGTAACTGCTTTTTTCTTCCTGCTTTTAAGATTCTCTCTTTGCCTTTAGCCTTTGTAATTTTAATTATGTGTCTTGGTATGTTCCTTTTTGGGTTCCTCTTGTTTGGAACTCTGTGCTTCCTGTCTATGTCCATAGGTAATGTGTATATTTATATAAGATTCGTAAGTCTATTTCTTTCACCAGGTGGGTAAAGTTTTTTGTTATTATTTCTTAAAATAGGTTTTCAATCTCTTTCTCTCTCTTTTCTCTTTCTGCACCCCCATAATGCGACTGTTGGTAGGCTTGAAGTTGTCCCAGGGACTCCTTACACTATCTTCATATTTTTGGATTCTTTTCTCTTTTTGCTCTCTGATTGTTTTTTGCTTCCTCAAATTTCAAATCATTGATTTGATTCTCAGAATTCTCTAGTCTAATGTTGAATCCCTGTAAATTATTCATTATTTTAGTTAGTGTATGCTTAATTTCTGACTGATCATTTCCCATCTTTGGCATTCTTTTGAAGATCCTTGAGTAATCTTATATCCGTGGTTTTGAACACTGTATCCAGTAGTTTGCTTTCTTCCATTTTTTTCATCTGTGACATGTTTGTCTCTGCATTTTTGCCAGTTCCCTGCATTTGCTTCTATGTATTGGATAGAGCTGCTGTGTCTCTTGGAGTTGGTAGAGTGACCTTGTGTAGTATGTATTCTGTAAGGCTCAGTGGCTCAGCCTCCTAGCCTCCTGAGCTGGGCACTCTAGGTGCAACCCTTTGTGGGCTGTGTGCAGAGTCTTGTTGTAGTTGAGACTTGATTGCTGTTGACATCACTGGGAGGAATTGACCTCCAGGCTGGTTGGCTGTGAGGACCAGTTGCAACTACAGTGGAAGGAAGATCTGCTGTGCACGATAAAACCCTATGGAGCAGGACTTGCTTCAGTGGGGCTGTGGTGCTCAGTCTGCCCTTAAGTGTGTTTCTTGTGGATGTGTAGAGCTGTAATCTGGTATGGTCTAAAGTTGTCCACAGGTGCACTGGCTCTTGGTTCTCCAGGAAGTGCAAAGTCAGCCACTGCCTGGGGCCACCTGGCAGGAGCAGCAGAGAGATTGCAGACTCCTCCTGTTTGTACTGGATTTGAAAGTATCCAGGTGGGGCCCAGCTGTGAAGCAAGGCAGACTGGTGCTGATGCCAGTGCCAGATCTTGGGCCTTTTACTGATAGGTATGGGCTATGCTGACACCAGCTGCAGCTTGATTGAAAGATTGTAGGAAAGCCTGAAGCCTGAACCAGTATAGGACATTCATATGTAAAAGTTTCTACAAACAGCTTGGATGGGGCTGCAAATTGGATGGGGTGGGGTCTCAATGAATCACCAGGGCAGAGCAAACACATGTGCTCCAGGTTAATGGAGATTCCAGGTAATGGTTGCCAAGACAATCACCCCTGGGACATGGGATGTCTAGGCATAGGAACAATGACCCCTGAAAGCTATTTCCAAGTTCTTGCCCCATGCCAGACAATCCAGTTCCTCCACATATGTGTCTGGGTCCCTCAACGCTTCCTGGCACTGGAGCTCAGAAGAAGCAAATCTGAGTAAATTTGTGCCTTGATCTTTAAGAGGGACACCATCTCTGGCAGCCTTCATGTCCCTCTGCTACAATTCTAACTGGTTTTTAGAGCCTGAAGTTACAGGGACTTTTCTCCCCAGCTCTGAGACCCTGGGTGGGGGTCTGGTGTGGGGCTAGGACCACTTGCTCCTTACAGGAGCCTCTGCAGGGATGATCTCTCTCATGGTTAAAAATATACTACATAAAAACTGTCAAAATATACTATACTAGA